ATTTTCATGGGGGGGGCACTGGCTCTGTGCCAGGCTCAAACCATGACAAGTTCCTAGGCCAAGGATTATGGCATGACAATAAATAGCCCCCAAAATTGGACTAAAGTTCTTTTAGTGGCCCATTGATTTTATTACTATGTCTATTGCTTGTACATTTTCTATTTGAACATATTATGCAGTTTAGCATCAAATTTGAGATCACTGCCTAAATTTGTCATTACAATAACGTTCCCTTATAGCTTTTTGGTGCTTATTGGGCTTAACACTAAGATCTTTTGTTTTGTTCTGCTGTTGCTTCCACAGTTACTTTGGTTCTATGGTTATGCAGTGTGTTGTCATGACAAAGTGATTAATTAAGTTGTGCAGTGTCCACTGAATTTTGGAAGTGTTTAATGAATGCCTTTTATTGATAGAAACATTTTTATTTCTTTTTTCCCTTTTTTTCTTTTTTTTTTTTGTGGTTTTTTTTTGGGGGGGGGGGGGTTTTTTTGGGGTTTTTTTTTTTTTAAATGAAACTTGTGCAAATAAATGTCCTAATCACTCAGGATAAAGAGCTGATGGCTGTTGGTTTTGGAGGCCTTGAAACACACTAGCAAAATATGTAAAACTCTAGGGGAAGTAAATACAAGGGAAAAGGACTTTGTAAATCCATAGGACTTCTTTGTATTACAGCTTTTTGTGAGGAGAGAGGAGTGTTTAGAGTAGAGCAAGGTGTTAAAAGAATATCAAACACTATTGCCAGTTGTATGTTACAGTGTGTTGGTCATCCCTGAGACAACTCCTCTGGTCATCTGCAAAGGGTTACCACAGCAGGTTAAAGTTGGCTTTATAGTGAAACTGTTAAATATTTCCACTGAATATCTGCCATATTGCTTTAATAAGATGAAGAAAAATTGAAATTACTGAAGTAATAACACTTCAGAGTCTCTCTGCTATTTTGTGTTCCTTGAAAGAGTTTTACTGAGGGGAAACCTTTACTACTGTTGACAACCATGGGCCATCCAGGAGCTGAGTGTTAGCCCAGAATTGAATTGGGAAGATGAACATTTCCAGTTTGGATTAACACCGCTGTTTCTGTCTCTGTCTGTCTAGCTGCTTTTCTTGTCTTTGACCATTCTGAGTCTAGAGGCAGATTACTGACCCCCATCTCTATGTTCTGTCCCAGGCATGTGCAGATCAGCAACGAGTCTGCAATTGACTTCTACAGAAAGTTTGGCTTTGAGATCATTGAGACGAAGAAGAACTACTATAAGAGGATAGAGCCGGCAGACGCGCACGTGCTGCAGAAAAACCTCAAAGCCCCTTGTCTTGGCCAGAACGCAGATGTGCAAAAGAACGACAACTGAACAAAACCCCAGCGGACACTTTCTTGCACTTGCTTGTCGCCAAATAAGGAAAGAGAGGCCTCTTTTTTTTTTTTTTTTTTTGATTGGTTGGTTGGATTTTTGTTTTGTTATGGATTTTTGTTTTAACTCCACCCCTTCATCTTATTTTTTTTTCCTTGACCTCTCTCCAGCAAAATGTAATGCTTCTTCCAAGGATTGTCCAATCATGTTTGGGGTTGGGTTTTGGTTGGTTTTGGATTTTTTTTTTGAGCTCTCCTTTCTGGTGTTTTTTGTTTTTTGAGGGCAGGGGGGCTGATTTTTTGTTTTTGGTTTTTTTTTTTTTTTGTTTTGTTTTGTTTTGTTTTTTTTTTGTTGGGGTGGGAAAAGGTGTGCAGATCCCTTTTAAGTTTGAGGTGTGGAGGGCTTGAGCAGGTTATCCTGATGACAAGTTTCCTTCAGAATTATTCTTTCAGTAAGCAGAATGTAAACCCAATGGGGGGGAAAAGGCAAAGCAATATCTTGTCCTTTGACTCCTACATTATTGTGTTTTTTATAACCTACAGGGTACTTTACTGTCCCCCAACCTTTGAATGTTACTTCAGTACTTCCCATTTTTCCTTTAATTCCCCCACCTCAAAAAAGTATATTTAGTTCTTCCCAATATTTTTGAGTATGGCTTTTTCCTCCATCTTTTGCTGAGAAGGGTGGGCTTCTTTTCCATACCTTTTCACTCTGCCTGGGCTGATCTTTTTGGATGCTTTTTTTAAAAATACTCCTCACCCAAGCTGGTGCTACACTTCTTAACTGACTGAGAGGAGGATTTAGAGTGGTCTTTGTTTTTTCTTATTTTCATTTCCCCAACTCCCAGCAGACTTTTGCCAGAGCAAGAGCTAGATCTGGTGTTGGCAAGAATAACCTTGTAAAAATACAGATCCTGAGGCAACACCCTTGCTTTTAAAATGGGTGAAATTCTGCAGGGCTCATTGAGAGTTAGTTTATCTGTGTTGTTGGGATGGAAAAAGTGACTGTGACCACCTTACCAGCTTTGATGACATAAAGCAAGCACCTGTCTCCAGATGACTTTGTTATAGCTACTGAATCTGTGGTGACAGATGTAAGGGTTGAGGAAACCAGGCAGCAAGGCTAAGAAGGCAGACATGAATCTGACCCTAATCACATAGCTTTGCAGGGTCTCCTGGATTTGCTTGGGATTGGCTTGACTTGCTGTGTTTATGAGCTCCTTTGGGAGGAGGTGGTGAAGAACTGCGTGGTTTTGCTCCTTTGAAGATTATTTTCCCCTTCCCCTGTTGAGTAGTAATAATGCAGTTCTCCTCTGGTGAGAGGGTGTTGGTGGAGCACCGGAGAAAGCAGCGTATATTAGAGCATTTTATGGGTTTGGAAAATAGGCTGGCTGGCTTCTTCCTAGTACTGTAACTTTGAGGCTACAGTAAACTGTACTAAGCTCTGCTTTGCATCCTTTCATGCTTTGTTTGCGTGAATACCAGTGCTCCTTTCTAGGCACTGTTGCCAGCAATTTTATGTATGCCAATATAAATACCAACTTGAGCTTGGACTCTTCTCCAAGCATCTGGGAAAGTGCACTGAGCTGAGACAACACCAACCTGCCCCATCCCCCATGTAGATGCTGAACTGTATTCTTTTCCTGTTTGTTTTTTCAAGTTTAGATCTGCATCTTGAATTCTTCCGCTCTGAAAGCCTCCAACCTGTAGTGTGCATTGCAGCATACATCTGGTTAGTAGGTGCTGTCCAGTCATTAGAGGGTGACTTGGAAACCAAGGATTCCAAAAGGGGAATTGTGGTGAGGCAAGGGATGGCACCCCTCGCTGCACATCGGGTGGTCTTTGATACCCCAGGGATGACTATACCAGCTGCTACACAGTTACTCCTTCTTTGACAGAGGGGTGTAGCATTTGTGTGAGTGCATTTTGACAGACCTGTGCTGGAAAACGGCTGCTTATTTTGCTGAGTTTGCACTAATGGAGTCCTGGAGATGGGCAGGTGGCCAACGCCAGCCTGTCTGCATGGCCCGAGCACCTGCGTTTGCAACACGTGGTGGCAGACTCTGGCTGGAGAGATGCAAACGGTTCCCGTGGCCAGAGGCAGCCTAGTTCTGACAAAAGCTCATTTTCAGTACAGCTAGGACCTGCTCGTGGTGGTTATGTTGGCAGCCTGGCATCTTTCTAGAAGGGGATGTATCGAAGCACAATTGGCTTGTCATATGCCGACATAGTTTCCCTGGCCATCTGTATACCAAACCAAGAGAAGTATGTGGAGGGAGAGAGAGATAGTATTGTATTTGAAGGTGTTGGTGCAGCACAGCTGTAACTCAGACCATAGCTGCCTCTGGTGCCAAGCAAAGTGCTCTTCATTCTTCTAGAACTAAGTGGTAAGTGTTTGGGTTGGGTAGATGGGTGTGGGGATATGAACTCTTAGGATTTGCTGTTGTCGTAGGCTTCCACAAATCAGTGTGTTTCACAGACAGTTATTCTTCAGGTTTCAAAGTACAAGTCTGATGTCTGAACTTACTTGGATTAACCTTTGTTTCTGTCTCTTTTTGCTTTGGGCTGCCATCATTCTATGAATGTATCCATGAGAACAATTCTTAAAGCTCCTATTCCACAGCAGACCTGCCTCATTGTAACTTCTAACAAAATGTTTTGTAGGAGGTGGAAGCGAGAATAAATCTAAGACTCCTTTTTCCCAGGCTATTAATCCTGGAAAACAGTTGTTGAATCTTGAATACAAGGTTTAATCTGAATCTTAAGAAAACTGTGTTCCCTGTACATGGGTAAGGGCAAGTGAAGGTCAGTAGTTCTGGATGACAAACAGTTGTATTTTATTAGTCTACCAGTTGTGTTGAGTGAGGGAGGAGAGTGCTGTATCTTAGTGCTGTTACCTGGAGACACTGAAATTGTGTGAAGTATGGGCTTACTGCAGAGAACTTCAGTTACTTTGGTTGTTGCTGCAGGAGGACATCCTTCTAGTTTGAAAATAACAGCTTGTGAACAAGTAAATTTTTGCGAAGTTGGGAGTTTCAGTGGGGGACAAAAAGCCACCAGCACCTCCTGTTCTAGATGAAGATCTAGCAAGAAAAAGTATGCAACTAAGAGCTTTAGAGTGTAAATTGTGTACATACAAATTACTCCTGAATCTCTGCAACTGGCTTTGTCACACATTGGTTCAAGTATGAAGATATTACCTACAAAAAGACTCCTACTTGAGGAAACCATGGTACAGGAGAAAAAGAATCATCCAGAAGAGAGATCCCTCATTTTTGGGAGGGGTAAGGGGGAAGAATGTATTTAGTGTATACAGAAACTGGCTGAGTTTACATGATGCAGCTAATGGTTAAACCTGCCAACTAAATATGACATACTGTTACAATTGAAACAAACTTACATGCTATTTAGTTAAATCTTGATGGTGCCCTGTGTCTAGTAAAAATTTGATCCTCCAAATTGTTTTATTCTCCCCCATGTTGTAATCCAGGGTCAGCTGCTATGCACAATGTCTGTGTTTTGTAAAGTGTTTGCTGACTTGGATGTTTCTTTTGAATCTGCAATTGCTTCCTGATTAATTTGACTAAGACCACCCCTGCTCTCTTGAGTTAGGATTTAGTGAAAGGTATGCTGTATGCAGTTTACAGATGCATTCTCAATGTTACAAGTTAAGTTGCAGGGGGAGCAAATTCTTTACAATAAGATGGTCCGTTTTTAATCTATATCATTGCCCTTGTTGTACATCAGGAGCATGTTTTTGTTTTTCTCAAACTCTTTAGAAATACCGTTCAGAATAAACGTGCACTATTTGAGTTATGTCATTTACAACTTGTCGTGTGCATTTTTTTGCTGTCCAGCTGTTTCCTTCAGAAATCAGATATAGACTATTCCTCAGATGTTTCATAAACTGTGTAACTCAGAAGATTTCTAACATGAACTGTGTGTTGGGCTGCTGGGATGAATGCCTAGGGCGTCTGACAGCTGTGCAGAGTGAGGTCTGTTTGTTTTCCCTGAAGTTACGAGCCTTTCCTCAGAAGTCCTGTCTTGTGGGGTAGGAGGGAGGAGAGCAAGAAGAACTGTTCTGGAATATTTTTGATTGAGCAGTTTGGAGACAAACAGACCAGGTGTCAAGAACTCTGGTTTGGGCTTTATAGGTTAAAAAGTTTAAAGTATTCAAATTAGCTGCTAGTCATTGCAAATCTTGACCACAGCCTTTGAAAAACTGTGATCCATATTTGAAAAAGTGACTGGTCTTAACATCCAGCACTGACTTTTCTCAGAAAGGTATTTAAGTAAAACTCATCTCTCTTCTTAACAACTCCAGTCTCTTCTGTTAAAGCCATTTTTTGTCTGTAATTTCACCAGGCTCCTCTTCTGCTTTGAAGTGCCATTTATGAAGTGATGAAGTTGCACTCTGGCCCAGGTTCTGGAGGAAAAGAAGAGTTTCCCTAAATTTGTACATTGTATTCTATTCACTTATTTAAGTTCCTCTGGAAACTGCTTTATCAACAGATGGAGTTGCTGCATTCATTAGAATAACAGTGCAGAAGCAAAGCTCAGGCTCTGAAACTTGTCTGTAATCTTGAGTGGCTGCTTCCAGCTGTCTTCCCTGACCTCTGCTGGAGGGCCTGGAAGGCACAGCTGGAAGTGAACTGCTACCAGAAGTGCAACCTTCATCACTCCAGCCTCACCAGCAGCTGCAGAGGCTGGAAAACCTTTGCTGTACTTAAACTGCTGCAGCTGTTCTCCAAACCATCCGGCTTTTATTGTTTTGTGTTTCTTCTCCTTCCTCATCCATCTGTTCAACACCAGATAACTGAGTTGTCCTTTACAGGGAAACTAACAGGTACTCCTGATCATTTGTGTTGTGCTTTCCCAAAGCTGTGCTGGTTCTACAGGCACTCCCATTCCCCTCACTGCATTCAGAACTTGGGTATTTATGGCACCTCTGTAATCACTCAGATGTGCTGTTGTCTCTAATTTGTTACTGGTACAACTACTTCAAGAACAGTTACCACACCAGGATCAAGTGAGTGGTCAGTCATTCACTTCGCGTGGAACACTGGGATTGTTCTGTCTTTTCATCAGTTCTCTGTTCCTGTGAGGACATTATCTTCTGATCCTGCAGTATCTTGGATTACTTTAAAAAATCCCTGTCCAAAACCTCTTATGTGAAGTCTTTTTGAGAATCTACCGAATCAATCTTGTCAGATGAGCATTGTCATCTGTTTCTGGCAGTGTTACTTTCCTTTCCATAGGGGTTTTCTAAATCTATTCAGCCCATCTAATCCAGATGCTTTGTCAGAGACAAATGTCCTGCCTTGTGTTCTTTTCTCTTGCCCCTAAAGAGGCATCAATTCAAACAGATAATGGAATGGTTACTCTAACCCTCTCTTTTCATTCTGCCTCCTTCCCTCCTCCTTAGTGCTTTAACACTGTAAAAGCATTCAGCTTTGCTGCCATTCTGCCCGAAGGCATTGTGGCACCACCAGCTGAAGCTCTCTAAATTGCTGAGTTGCCAGCTTTCTTTCACTCCCTTGAATGTACATGACCCATAGTCCAAGAAACTCCTGCACTGGGAAAGATGCACTGACCTGTGTTCTGATTGCCTCTCAGCTGCTGGATCACATCGTACAGACTTAGGCCAGTACTGCTCACTAATTATTGAACCCAAACTTGCACTACAGCCAAGAATTTAAATAATAAAAAAAAAAGTTCAAAAAACCTGCAAAGTTCTTGATTAAGACTATCTTAAATAAAGCTGCAAAAACTTCTTGACTTGTCAAAAGAATATCAAATCATCTATCCAAAGTAAAGCTTTCCTTGCAAGCTCTTCATTTTTTTTAACCATCTTGCCATAAATATTCTCCAAGAGAAACAGGTACGCTCTTGTTGTGTGTGATATTCAGCTGTGGATTTTTACCTGCTGCTGGATTCTTGCCACGGTATTTCAGATATTTAACCCTGTACTGGTATTGGCCGCTTGTGAACTCAAGCACTACATCACAACCTTCTTGTGTCAGAAGGTAAACTTGGTTTTGCTGCTTTGGGTGGGGGTGCCTATTTAGTGAAAATCTTCACCAAAAAAAGCACACTACCCTTTAGAAGAGAAACCTCCCCCCTCAGTTTATATTGGAATAAATTGATGGAGCAGTGGCATTTCAGATTTCACTTGTCTTCCAGTTTGGTTGTGTCATATCAGAACCAAAGATGATGAAAAGCAAAAAAGTGCATTTACATTTCGGCTTTACACTTTCAGGCTGGTATTTATAGTAATGTTAGAATTCCTCTGCAAAAACAGCTTGGGCCTCAATTTTCTTCACAGCTCACAAACGGGCTTTATGCTTAATGTCAGCTGCGAGGTTATTTTGCAAGTGGCAGCTATTCAAAATAAAATGCTTTGGGTTATTGAACATCTGATTGCTGCTATGACTCATTTCAGCAGCAGCAGAGTTCTTGGACACCGCTTCAGAAACTTGTCCCTGCTCTATTATGTTGTATGAAGGCATATGGATACAAGACGCTTTCTCAGGGAAGCAGTTGAGCTGGAACTGGGAATCTGCCTTATCATGGATGATAGCTGAATTAGGCATTGGCAGGATGCAAAATGTGAGGTCGTGGGGAGTTGTTAATGACCCACAGTCCCTCATTTCCTAAACTCTGATTTAACTCATGAGGAAGATGGATGGAGTGTCTTCTTCCCAGAGCTAAACATGAGCAGTGCATGTGACAAAGTTAAGAAAAAGTGTCCATTAAAGCATCACTCATGGCACAGAACAGTCACAGGACGTGGTTGGCTCCTCGTGGACAGCTCCATGTAGCAAACCTTTAGCCAGCCATTATCTCCGCTCGCCGCTCCGTCGCGGATCGCTGAGTGCCGATGGCGCGGGGCAGCAGCTCGGGGCACGAACGCTGCTCTGCGCTGCTCGGGGCTCTCACAGCCCGCGGCTGCGCTCGGCCAAGGGCAGCGCTCGGGTCACTCACCCTGGCAGGACGGGATTGTTCATCTGACAGCAGCACGCACAAAATAACGCACGGCGCTTTCTCACACGCGGTCCTTTTCCTTTCCCGGTGCCGGCGGTGCCGCTCAGCACCGACCCAACGCCGCAACCTTTCCTGTCCCGACGCGGGCGCGGCCCCTTTAAGCGCTGCCGCCCGCCCCTCCGCGCGCCTCTTCCCGCTGCGCTCATTGGCTGCCCGGAACGCCGCTCCCCGCCAGTTCCTGTTTCGGCCACCTTACCTTGTTGACGCCAGTCTCTGTCTCCCTGCCCTCTGATTGGCCCGCGCCGCCAATGTTTGTGGCGCCCATTGGCCCGCGCCCGCTTCGCCCCGCCCAGTTGAGGGCGAGCGACGCTCCCTCCGGCCCGGAGCTTGTTGATTGGCCGCGAGGGCTGGCCCCGCGCGCGGTGATTGGCTGCGGCGCGAGCAGCAGGGTGGGCTGCGCGGGCGGGCAGCGGCGCGGAGGCGGCGGCGGGGCTGGCGCGGGGTGTCCGCCCGCCGGAGGATGGTCCCGGCGCTGGGGCCGCCGCGCAGCGCGCCCGGCCCGACCGTGAGTGCCGGCCGGGGACCGGGGACGGGAGCGGCAGCGGGAGGAGAGGGACCCGGAGCGGCCGCGGCAGCGGGGCCGAGGCGTCACGCTGGGCCGGGGCTGCGCTCGCCCGGGATGCCGGTGGAGCCGGTGCCCCTTTGTCCGGCCCCGGTGTGCCCGGCCCGGCCCGGGCAGCGGCTGCGGGGTCGGGACGGGCCGGGGCGCAGCGGCAGAGCGCGGGCGGCCCGTGGCGGTGCGTGCGCGGCGCGGTGGCGGTGCCCGGGCTCCGCTGCCCAGAGTGGAGCGGCTGCGGGCCGGGGCTGGGCTGGGGGAAAGTCGGGGGAACAGCGGCGGGGGCTTGGAGAGCGGCGGGGGCTTGGAGAGCGGCGAGGGCTTGGGGAGCGGTGAGGGCTTGGGGAGCGGTAAGGACTTGGGGAACGGTAAGGACTTGGGGAGCGGCGTGGTTCCATCGCTTTGCGGTCTGCGCGCTGCGAGACAATCGAGCGTGAGCCGCCGATCGGGGAGTTCGCTCGGCAGGCAGCGAGAGGCGGGCGCTGCGCCGCAGCCGGGCACCTTCACTTCGCCCGGGCACCTTCACTTCGCCCGGGCACCTTCCCTTAGCCCGGCACCTTCCCGCATCCCGGGCACCTTCCCGCATCCCGGCCCCTTCCCGCTCCGTGCATGGCGGCGGGGTGCTCGTGTCGAGTGCCACCCCCACGGGATGGGATCCCCACGGGCTCAGGGGATGCTGTGCCTCCAGGGACAGCTTTCTTGCTTAGAATTCGGTCACTCGTGGCTAACGTTTCCCGTGTAGTAAGCTTGGTCTCCGAAGGAAGGAAGTCTGATGGATGTGTCTGTCTGTTCCTTCTCTGCCTGGTAATTTTAGCTCTCCGGCCGATTTCGGTCGAATTTGCCAGCAGCAGGGGCTTTAAAGAGTTGGAAGGCTTCAGTTTCATGGGAATCATCATTTGCAGGCACAGAAGTGTTTGTAACTTACAGGTACTGCTCGCATTAAGGACAGGACAGCTCAAATGCAGCTCCCTGTGACAGCACAAATGAGCTGAGTCCATTGACATAGCTGTAGCTGGATACAGCTGTGGCACATGGTGCCCATAGTCCAGGGGAGTCTGTAGGGAGAAATTGGAAGTAAGGCAAAGAAAAAGAGAGCAGTGATGTGTTGAGTTTCTGCCCATAAGTACAAAAATCACAAAACTGTGTTTTTGCTTTTCACATAGCTTGGACTTCTATTAGACTTCACTTAGACATGCAATTATTAAGCACTTCTAGCAGTGATAGTGATGGCACAGTTAAGCATCCAGAAGTCAGGTGATGTAGCAGCTTGTTTTAGAGGCATGATTTGAGCTTTACTTTTAATATACAAGTCATTGGGACCATCTTATTTATGTGACTATGTTATGTAGCACTTCAAACAACTGCAGAGCCTTGTTCATTGCTCATGAATTGTGTGCAGTAATCAGACAAATGGGAAGGAAGAAACTTCCTTTTTATTAGAAAGATTTAGAACCTTTAATTTTTGATTTTCAATTAGTGCCATAACAATAACTCATAGGTACATTTTAGGATGAAATACATTTGACAACTGAAAATGTGTTTGCCGCTGAATGGGAAATAAGCTTAGAGAAATGCTTGTGTTGTCAGCGTGATTTTTAAGGTGCTTGTATTCAAAATAACACGTCAGGTATGTGAAACAGTGCAAGAACATTGGAAATTTTGAAGTGTTTGGAAATGACTTATTCCCTTAGAGACTTACTTATTCCCTTAGGTTGTGGATACATGGGAGGATTTTAACGGAGTAGATGAAAAAAGGTGGTGGATCCTGGAGGACTCTGGCAGCTGCACAGAGATAATTAGGATGTAAGTTTTTGGCAGTGGCTCAGCTGCTTTGAAGGCTGGTGTTTGAAGCAGCGTTCTGAGGAGCTGGCCAGGGACACACCAAGGGACTGTCCCTGGAGTGGCCCTGTGACACGGCTGGCCCAGCTGCTGTGTGCATGGTGGGCTCCTGTTGGTAGCTGAAGTTCAGCTGTGCTCTGAAATCAGAGATACCTTGGGAGCAAGAGAGCAAAGATTCTGTGAATGTGTTCTGCTGGCTGAGCTACTCCAGCTGTTCTTCACCTCTGCTCTTCTTCGGTGAATGTGGGGGATGCTCCTGACTCTTTTTAGGCACAGGAGTTACAGAGGAGCTTTTTTGAGCATTGTTTGGTTGTTGATGGTTTCTCCCCATGTGCTGAAGTTGTAAGAACACCTCAGGCTTCCACATATTGAAGTATAATGAATTAGGCTGCAGAGAGATTCAGGGTGGTGCATTCCAAGTGTTTAAGCACACTTTTAATTTGCAAAGTGCCTTGATGCAAAGTGTGTGACACTGTAACCAAGCATGTCACACTTGGATCTGAATTAATACAATGTATGAGTTGAAGCTGGGTGCTGCAGAAAGAAACAGACATGTGAGGATGTCAAGGGCTGGGACATGCTGGATTTGACAGGAGCCATTCTGTGGTTTAATTTTGGTACAGTAGTGCTTCTTAAGGTCTTGAAAATAACTTTGTAAGTGACACCTGGCTGGGGGGAGGTATAAAAAGCATAGCATTTGATACAAAGGGTTTCCCAATGAATCATGGTTGCTTGTGTCACAAGAACTTGTGAAAAGTGCCACAAAGTCTGTGCCACTTTGAAGGACAGTGACACCTTTCAAAATAGGAAAACATGTTCCTGAGGGATTTCATTTGATTAAAGGAATCACAGACACAACTGAGATGAAGAATTATAAAATGACTGGCAATACTGTGGATGGGCAGTCCATCAGGCTGGAGGCAAGTACACTTCTTCAGAGCCCTGAGATTTATAACTGGAGTTGTTACAAAAAGATTAGGAACACTAAAGCTGTTAGATTGTATGCATGCACACATTTACACATCCATTTTCATTTAAAACCCTGGGTTGTATGCACAGCTTCACCGACATTTCCATCAGGGACATGGCTCAGTAGTGTTATTTAATTGAAAACTGTCTCATCTGGAACTCTGCACCGTGATGTGTATTCAATTTTAATAACTCAAGCAGTATTTGAGTTATTTCAGATTACAGGAAAACACGTAAAGGTCTCAACTCCTTGATTAGGAAATGTTGTGCAGTTTATGTAATGCTGACCTAACTTGCTGTTTAAAATGCAATTCCAGCTTTTATGGGTGGATATAATGTGTCCCAGGTGTACTTTGGTTTGCCACCTTACCAGTGTAGTGCCGTTGTCATGCTTGGAGTAAGCACAAAAGAGGTTCTGCTGTGTGCACAAGATTGACAAATTGTGTGTAAACTGGGCTTGTTTCCTGTGTGAAAAGCCATGGCTTTGGCCTCCAAGGTGAATGACCTGCGATAGCAATCTCTTACATCAGCCACGCTGGGTGCCATTGTGGCTCAGATAAGAGGAAAGCACTGGGCTGCTGAAAATGTTTCATGCTTCCTGGTAACCAGTGCCTTTCCCACTCAGTTCCCTGAACTTCTCTCAGGTTAACTGACCAGTGTGAAAACCATGAATTGAAATCAGCTCCATCTGAGAGCACATCTCAGTCATGCTGGTATTCTGGTACCTGAATGGGTTCTTTGGGTCCATCTCTAGTGAGGCTGGAATGATCCAAGTATGGAGCTGTTAGCTTTTAGGTCTAAATCCAGGTTCCTCAGAACCTATGATCCATTTTTCCAGCTTCTGGTATGGTGGGCAATGCCATGAAAATATTACAGAAAACATTGCCCATTAGCCTGCTGACACAGTTAATAGAAGTGTAAGGGTTTTATGGGGAGAGGAGACCTTAAAGATTTGTTTATTCTTCAAGTAACTGAAGTTCAAGTGAAAATAATACTGTCCATTTGGGGTGTCTGTCTGCATCTGTAGTCTGTAATGTGGTTGGCTCCAGGGACACTTAATTCATGCCAGCCTTCCACCTTTGAAGTTGGACTCTGCTTTGCTTTCATGCATCAGTGAAGCTGTTGGCTAGAAACTGAACAGAGTTCTTGTACAAAGCTTCATGCTGCAGCTCTTCTTGCTCATCTACTCCAGTAGTAAAATGGAGCTCCAAATCAGGAGCATAATTTTTCCACTATTGGAGCATCCCTAATATTCAGAGATGCTTTAATTCAGGAATGTTTAAATATTATGCATCTATAGCTTAAATCCCTCCTTCTTCCATGTAAGTCTCTCACCTGCTGGAAATTCTGGGACTTCTTGTGTAATTGGAGAAGCTTACCTAGTTTTGGCATCATCTTGGGTCATAGTTTCACAAGTATTAAGCCAGCACTGTCACCATGAGAAGCAATCTTGTTGTTTCAGTGTACTTATTGGGGAGTGTGGGGTGTCTCTGTGATCCTTGTGCAAAGTCAGTTTTAAGCTGCAGTGGTGTTCTCATCTGGCCTGCTGGGTTAGGAGTGCCAGTGAGCCAGGGGAGAGGCTGCATCTCTCAGCATTGCTTTGTGGGAGTTGGGGCAGCAGGGGAAGATAATCATCACAGGTACTTTCCTATTATTGCTTGGAGAAATGGGCTGATAGGAATTTCATGCAGCTCAACAAGAGCAAAATCCTGCACTTGGGGAAGAACAAATCAGTCCACCAATATACGGTGGGGGCCATGCAGCTGGAAAGCACCTTGGCAGGGAAGGACCTGGTGGACACCAAGCTGAACCTGACCCAACAGAGTGTCCTTGTGGCATGGGTGCTGAATGGGCTCCATTTGATACAGGAGTGTCAGCTTAGGGAGGTGATCCTTCATCTGCACTTGGCACTAGTGGGGCCACACGTGGCATCTGGTGTTGAGTTTTAGGTTCCCCAGTACAGGAAAGAGATGGATGTACCACAGAGAGTCCACTGAGAGGCCACAAGGACAATTAAGGTACAGGAGCATCTCTTGTCTTGGGAGGCCAAGGGAGCTGTGATTGTTCACTCTGGAGCAGAGAAGGCTGAGGGAGAATCCCACCTGTGGATTGTCTCAGGAGGATTTACAGTCCATCTCACT